AGGACGAGGACTGGGCCGTGGAGCTGCGGATCACGGAAGGTGGGGCCGGGCGGCCGGGGACAACGGGGAGGGGTGATGGTGCCGGGGCCCAGGGAGGGGTCATGCACCGGCTGGGCTCATTCGTCCCCTGTGCCCACAGCCAACCTGACCGGGCACGAGGAGAAGGTGAGCGTGGAGAACTTCGAGCTGCTGAAGGTGCTGGGCACGGGAGGTGAGGACCCCCACCCGCCGGCAGATGTCCCAGGGACGGTGCCCTGGGCCTCCCCACGGGGCACACCCGCCTGGGCCTGGGCCAGGCAACCGGCTATGCCCCCCACCCTTTCCTGGCACCGCCGCCTGCCGGCCCCGCCCTGCCGTGCCCGGGTTTGCATCCCACTCTCAGGGCCTCTCCTCCCCGCAAGGGCCTCCCGAGTTTGTCAACACCCTTGGGTGCTTGCAGCCCTCCGAGCGGTTAGCAGCGCGCTCCTCTCCTGGCTGTGTATGAGCCCTCGCCCCGCTTTGCAAACTCCCAGCTCAGGTTTGCACATCGCTTCCCTGTCCGCCTGCACCTCTGCCTCCCTCCTCGGATTTGCATCCTCTCAAATCAGTCTGATCTTCCACAGGTTTGCACATGCCCCGCCCCCACTTGCTCTGCAGGCCTCCTGGAGCTGCAGGCCCCCCAGCTGGTTTGCACACCCCCTCCCCGGCTTTGCTGAGCACCCTCCTGGTGCTGTGCACCTTTCCCTTCCTCTCACCCAGCTCTTTCCTCCAATTTGCACACCCTTCTGGGTTGGCATCATTCCCACAGCCACCAGTCTGTACCACCCTTCTGCTCACGGCCTACCTCCTGCCCACTCCCTGCTCCCACAGCCTACGGGAAGGTGTTCCTGGTGCGGAAGGCGGGCGGGCACGACTCAGGGAAGCTGTATGCCATGAAGGTGCTGCGCAAGGCCGCGCTGGTGCAGCGCGCCAAGACGCGGGAGCACACGCGGACGGAGCGCTCCGTGCTGGAGCTGGTGCGCCAGGCACCTTTCCTGGTCACGCTGCACTACGCCTTCCAGACCGATGCCAAGCTACACCTCATCCTGGGTAAGGGCGGGCACCTGACAACCTTGGGGGCCAGGAAGCAGTTGGAGCCACTCGCGGGGACTGCTTCCCAACCTCCACTCTACCCCCCAGACTATGTGAACGGGGGCGAGATGTTCACCCACCTCTACCAGCGCCAGCACTTCAAGGAGGCTGAGGTGCGCGTGTATGCGGGCGAGATCGTGCTGGCGCTCGAACACCTGCACAAGGTGGGTGAGGACCTGCCACATGCCTGTTGCCATGGGCGATGGTCTGGGCCTTCTAAAGGGCCTCCAAACAGGACAGCCGCAGGGCTTGCTCTCCCTGGGCCTCCCGGGGGTGGGTAGGGGGGAACCGGAGCTGCTGCCCTGGCCTCCTGGTGGGGCCTCCCCTGGTGCCTCCAAGGGGCTTTCCTCTCACAGGGAACTCGGGGTTGCCTTCTGGGGCCGTGTTCACAGAACTTCCTCAATCCGAGACCTGTGCCTTGGCTTCTGAAGCCTTCTGAAATGGGGCTCTTCACACAGGCTTTCCTGTCTCTGGGACCTTGGGGTCTGCTCCCCTGGGAGTCCCCCATGGAGTCCTCCTTCCTTGTTTTTGCCTCTTAAATGGCCTGTTCGGTCCAGTGACTCAGTCCCCCCCCCGGCCCATTCCTGCCCTGGAGATCCCCGTCTCCTGAGCAGCGACCTGTGTGTGCGTGTGTGGGGGGCGGGGGGAGGTGGAGGAGGCTCAGTGCCCCTCTTGTCCTGCCAGCTGGGCATCATCTACCGAGACCTGAAGCTGGAGAACGTGCTGCTGGACTCCGAGGGCCACATCGTGCTCACAGACTTCGGGCTGAGCAAGGAGTTCCTGACGGAGGAGGTGAGTGAAGGCCACCCCGCATCCTGCACCCCAGGCAAGCCACCTCCTCCCTGCTCCTGCTCCGGGCCTGGCTCTGCATTTCTCGGGGTGCAGAGGGAGACAGCCCCACGCCCTGCGCTCAGGAAGTTCCCACGGCTCCAACCTGCATAAGTCTCGCGAGTCCTACTCTGAGCCTTGGGAGTTGCTGGGTGTCCAAAATGGGTCCTCTTGCCCTCCCAGAAAGAGCGGACCTTCTCCTTCTGTGGCACCATCGAGTACATGGCCCCCGAAATCATCCGCAGCAAGTCGGGGCATGGCAAGGTGGGTTGGCACCTTGGCTGGGCCCCGGCAGGCTGTGGACTGGTGGAGCCTGGGCATCCTGATCTTTGAGCTGCTGACGGGGGCCTCGCCCTTCACGCTGGAGGGCGAGAGGAACACGCAGGCAGAGGTGTCCCGGTGAGTGGGGCTGGAGGCAGTGAGTGGGACTGGATGCGGGGGGAGGGGGCAGCTGAGGTGGCTGGGCAGGGCTGTGGGCGGGGCTCGCTGCCCCTGACGCCCCCCAAATCCTCCCAGACGGATCCTGAAGTGCTCCCCTCCCTTCCCCTCTCGGATCGGGCCAGTGGCGCAGGACCTGCTGCAGCGGCTACTTTGCAAGGACCCCCGGAAGCGGCTGGGTGCGGGGCCCCAGGGGGCACAGGAGGTCAAGAGCCACCGTTTCTTCCAGGTGAGGCTTCTGAGCCGCCCCCACCTCTCTGCACATACCCAGCCGGGCTGCTGCTCTGGGCTCGGGGATACTGGAGGGATGTCTGAGATTGGCCAATTTCACTTGATTTAGAAGAATCCTGCCCGGCTGGTGTGGCTCAGTGGTTGAGCATGGACCTATGAACCAGGAGATCATGGTTCAATTCCCCATCAGGGCACATGCCCGAGTTGCACATTCAATCCCCAGTAGGGGGCGTGCAGGAGGCAGCCGATCAATGATTCTCATCATTGATGTTTCTCTCCCTCTCCTTTCCTCTCTGAAATCAACAAAAATATATTAATATTTTTTAAAAAGAAAAAATCTCCAGATCAGGGAAGCAGGCTTATCTTCCCACCCATCTCTAGTGAAACTCGGGAGATGTGTGTTCCTGGGGGAAAGAATTCTAGGTTCATCGACTGTCAGGACTGCCAGGGACTTGGGAATGGATTCGTCAGTCCTTTCGTTGGACAGGTTCAGAGAAGGGAGGTGACCCACCCAGGATCGTACAGTGAACGTGTGGAACCGGACACAGACCCCACGTCTCCTGTCAGCCTAAATCAGCACTAAAAGCCACACTATGGCTCTTAGCACCCACCCAGTTTTGTTCTTTGTCCCTGTACAGTCCGTGTGCCTGTACTTAGATGGATGGTCAGTTAGTCATGTGGGTTTTATTTACTTGCTAGGAGCATATGCAGGTTAGAGTGCAGAGCAGAGTGAATTTGTCTCCGTGTGAGACCTCTCTGGTGGGTGCTCTGCATGGCCAGTGTCAGTGCCTAGCAGGATCCTGTAACAGTGAACACCTACTGTGTGTCAGCCTGCCGGGGCTGACCAGCACCCCTGAGCGACGGATGAATGATGACTCCGACACAGGTTTGCTGTGAACGAGAGGGCTAAGGGACTGCCTGGCTATAGGAACCAAACAGCCTTGTTCGCCTGCCTCTTCAGGCTTTTATTGTGACAGCAGTTTGGGATAAAGTTTTTTTTGTTGTTTTTTAAATATATTTTATTGATTTTTTACAGAGAGGAAGGGAGAGGGATAGAGAGTTAGAAACATTGATGAGAGAGAAACATCGATTCAGCTGCCTCCTGCACACTCCCTACTGGGGATGTGCCTGCAACCAAGGTACATGCCCTTGACCGGAATTGAACCTGGGACCCTTCAGTCCGCAGGCCGACGCTCTATCCACTGAGCCAAACTTGTTAGGGCATGGGATAAAATTTATCGTTTAGATACAATCAGTAGGGGAAGTAATCATGTATCTGGAGTGTCCTTTAAGCAAGGACACCTAAAGATTCCGATGAACACCAGAGGGTCCGCACGTGCACAGACTTGTTAGGAAAGGTCAAGGAACAATTAGGGGCGGCCTTCAGCCAACTCCCCTTTTCAGAATTTCCTCCTTACAGACTTCCCAACCAAGTCTCGTGCTTCCCTACATCAGCCCTTTGCTTGCATTATTTCACGTAACCCTCAGAACCATCCTCTTTATTCCCATCTTTTTAATATGTTTTTATTGATTTCAGAGAGAGAGGTAGGGAGAGGGAGAGAGAGATAGAAACATCAATGAGGAGAGAGAATTATCGATTGGCTGCCTCCTGCCCGCCCCCTACTTGGGACAGAGCCTGCAACCTGGGCATGTGCCCTGACTTGGAATTGAACTGTGACCTCCTGGTTCATGGATTGATGCTCAACCACTGAGACACTATTCCCCTCTTTATAGATGAGGAAACTGATGTTCAGAGAGGTTAAGTAATTTCCCAAGATCACCCAGCCCGGAAGTGGTGGAGCTCAGATTCAAACCTCCGTCTGGGTGACTTGAAGGCCCTTGTCTTTCGTTTACACGTGGGCATCAGGTTTGCCACTTGTCTGACGTAACGAAAGCACCCATTTGCGGGCATTTGTGGTGGGGCAGGCACTCAGTTACCCTTTTCCCAGTGTCATCTCCTCGCTCTTCCCTGCAAGTACCTGCCTAGAAGGACCCTGGGAGATGCTTTCTGAGACGGGAACCTAAGTCTGCCGTGAAGGCATCGCTTTGTAGGGGAAGCGGCTGAGCCAGTGTCTGTTTCCTTAAGTGAATTCCTTAACCCTCCTAAGTGCGTGCTGGGCCCTGGGTGCTGGGAGTGGGTTGACCAGTAGCCATTCCAGAGAGACCCCAAGGTCTTTGAGGCTTGATGCTCAGAAGGGGTGTTCCCCTCACTCCCCCTTCTCTCAAGGCAGCCTCTTCGGTGCTGGCAACGCTGAGGTCTCTGGTGGCAGAACTGGGGCCTTCAAGTCTAGGTCAGGCTTCTTGGCTTCACGTGACAAAAAGTCCAACTCAGAAATGGTGATACCCATGGAGTAGAGTTTAGAACGAACAGGTATTGGAATGCCCGGTGGTCTAAACAAGATAGATAGAGGGTTATTTACTTATTTATTTTCTTACATAAAAGAAATCTAGAGGTTGGCAGGCCGGAGCAGCTATGGTGCCTTCATGGGTCCAAGCTTTTTTTTTTTTTTTTTTAATGCCCCTCCATTTTTAGCATGTAGCCTCCATCCCCAGGTTTGCCTCATGGTCCAATATGACTGCTGAGCACTTGCCATCCAGGCTGATAGCCAGGCAGGAAGCAGGGAGGAGGAGGGGAAGGGCCAAAAGGGCATTTGCCAACTGTCCACCCTCCTCTTGAGGATCTTTTCCTTGATTCCTACCTCACAATATTTGCTTGCAAGTTATCGGTCACTCCTAACTATAAGGAAGTGTGTAAAATATTGCCTTAGTTTGCACATTGCTTCCTGGGCTTAAATTGGGGCTATGGAACCAAGGAAGACAGGGAACATGAATGTTGGGCAGGTGATGAACAGGCTCTGCCACACTAGCTTACGTATAAAAGGGCATGTTCTAGCTCCCACAAGAGAAAAGTTGAAGGAAAAGTGGGCTGACTTCAGGTCAGGCTGCATCCAGGTGCTGAACCTACATCATCAGGAATCTCTCTGTCTCTCGGTTCTGCTTTTCTGCGTGGGGACTTCATCATCAGACCCCAAAGTTGTTCCCAGCAATTCTAGGCCCATATCCTCCAAGATTGAAGTGTAATGGGGGGAAGAGAGTAGGTTTGTAAGCCACTTCTGTTTGAAAGTCCCAGAACTGACTGAGTGTGGTGGAGGGTGATTCTCCAAGGGAATAGGAATTGGGCGTCAAAGGGAGGGAAATAGAGGCTGGGGAGGCAAGAACACCTTCTCCCCAAATGCAAGGTAGCCCGTATTTTCACTGAGGAGCTGAGCGGAGAGGGTGGCCTGAGCGGAGAGGGGTTTCCCCTTCCTGCCCTTTGATCCTCAGTCTCTCATTTCTTCTTTCCAGGGTCTGGATTGGGCTGCTCTGGCTGCCAGAAAGATTCCAGCTCCATTCCGACCCCAGATCCGCTCAGAGCTGGATGTGAGCAACTTCGCAGAAGAGTTTACTCGCCTGGAGCCCGTCTACTCCCCGGCTGGCAGCCCCCCATCTGGGGACTCGCGCATCTTCCAGGTGAGTGAGCCAGCCTCGGCCCTGGCTGACCCGTGGGCACTACATACACCCCGTGTCGGGTCAGGACTCGGCATCTCCCCCCAGACCTCTCTACTTGTGGGGACCTGGAGTTGCCAGTCATGGAGACCACCATGGCAGGACACGTCTTTGAACTTCATGGTTTATCTTTAGATTTCACGTTAATTTTCCTTTTACTCCATCATAACTCTTTATTGGTACATAAAAATATCGTTTTAAATTATTCACTTGCTTAAGTAGACACCTAGGAAGAGAGGCCATATTTATCCTGTGGCTTTAATGCCCATTGGCATACCGTATCACATTCCTGGGGGCACAGACCCCTCCACCCAATTTTAGAAGCTTAGGCCTGTTGGACAAGGCCCTCCTCTGCTCAGGATTCAAGGCCCTGCACCGTGCGGTCCTGCTGAGCCGAGCCTCAGTGCTCGCTATCGTCCCACCTGGTGCTGTAGCCGCAGTGGACTGTCAGAGGTTCCACAACGCACCCCTGTACCATAGCCCATGCAGTTCCCTCCACCTGGAGTGCCCTCCCCACTGCCGCTCACCTGGCAAGCTCCCGCGGACCTTTCTAGCTGCCCTGGGTGAAGGCTTCCCCACTCCCGTGGCCCCGGGCTGCACTTGCCTGTGCACTAGTCCCCTGCAGACAGCACCTTCTGAGCCGTTTGTCAGGTTGTGTCCTGGCAGCCCAACCGAGACTGCCTCCCCTGGTGTGAGGCTCCTGGAGGCGGGAACTGTTGTTTAATTTCGTGTCCCTGTGCCCAGTGTGGGGGCCTGGCCTGCAGGGCCTGGTCTACATCTATTACATAAGAATAGGCCAGTGTCAACTATGAGAATCTCCTCTGTGAAGCTCCACGAGTGACAGCTCTGTGCTTGAGTGTCTCTCGATCCATTGTCTCACAGTTCTGAGAAGTTCTTTCTTGCGAATGGATGGTTACTCTCATTCATTCATTCATTCATTCATTCATTCCAGGACTCAGAAATATGTGTTGAGTGCCTACAGTGTGCCAGGCACAGATCCGGGCACTGGGGATGAACCTAACAGGAAGTGATCCCACCCAGGCGGAGCGTGCATGCTCGCGCACAGGGGCTGCATGTTTAGCAGAAACACATCAGATTACCCTTGAGACTCCCTTGGATGGGCAGGACATGGTCCTTAGGAAAGGCAAAGTGGTAACTGGTTTCTCTACATTGCCTCAGAGCTCCCTCCTCACAGAGGAGGCCACAGTTTGATTTGAAAGGAAGGAATAAAGACTTTTTGTCCTCAGTGGGCACAGTTGAATGTTCATAAGTGAAACGGGTGTGATGCCAGGTCACAGTCCTTCCACGCACTGCCCGTCCCTCTCTGGGCCACTACATTGTGCCAGGCGATGCCCTTCAAGGCTGCATCCAGGTGCTGAGCCTACGTCATTAGGAATCTCTTTGCCTCTTGGTTCTCCTTTTCTGCACGGGCACTTCATCCTTAGACCCTCAGGTTGTCCCCAGCAATTCCCGGCCCACATCTTCTAAGATTTAAGTGTAATTGGAGGGGCGGGGGAGGCGCAGAGGGTTGGGTTACTGTAACGAGAAAGGCGGAGTCACAGACTGGTGGGGGACAGACACGACCCCAAGTGATCATAGAACAAGTTGGAATAAAATGTCCATGCATCCTGTTGTGTCAGGACGCAAAAGCAACACCCCCCCACCCCCCACCCCTGGTCTGGGGTCTTCCTCTGCCTGCCCTCCTCCCGGCCAGGTGTGGCCCTTCCAGGGACGCCCCCCTGCACCTCCAGCCCCCATACCCATCCGCCCCTGACCCACCTCCCTCCCCAACCAGGGATACTCCTTCGTGGCACCGTCCATCCTGTTTGACCACAATAACGCTGTGATGACTGATGTGCTTGAAGCACCTGGCACTGGAGACCGGCCAGGGAGGGCAGCGGTGGCCCGGAGCGCCATGATGCAGGTAGGGAGGCGGGGCCGCGGTGTGACGGCGGTGAAATCCGGGACCTCTGCGAGATGGGCTTCGGCGTGGCCTCCAGGCTCCCAGGTAGGACCGCTGACGCGCCCCTGTGCCCCCAGGACTCGCCCTTCTTCCAGCAGTACGAGCTGGACCTGCGGGAGCCTGCGCTGGGCCAGGGC